AAGTTCTGTACGAGGCAAAGTAAAGCTGGTTTCTGTTATCTTGTTCTTGTCTGAAGCTATATCTCTCTTATCTTCCTCATTCTCCTCTCCTTATATACCCTCACCATATCATATGACACCTGAGGCCCTTGCTCCTGTATCACGTGATGCCCTTTAGAGTATGAACCATTTTCCCCAGTACAACAGACATTGACAAGGCCTAAAAATAGTTCTTACTAAGAATATAAAGGGGGCCTTATCACACCTTTCCTAATTAGGATTTAGGTGTGCGCGTGGTGAAATCGAATTAGGAAGTCAGTTTAGTTTAGGAGTCTAGTTGGCTAATATTAGGTAATATTGGGTTATGTTAGGTTATATTAGCTGATGTCGGTGCTGCTTTAATCAGACAGGCAACAGGATGGTGCCAATCACGTGTCATAGGGGTGACCCCATGACACGCTCAAATACTAGTAATATTATTTAGAAGGTATAAAGAATATATTCTTAATCTTACTAGATTACTAAAATCTTTAAAATTTTACTACTATAAAAGTATTAAATAGATAATAGCTAAGATAATTATATAAACTATTATTATTTAACTTTAAGATTAAATATTAGAGTGGGAAACTTAATACTAATATAGATATATTAAGTAAAAGAACTAACTATAATAAAGGAATAAAGGTTAAATATACTCTTTTATAGTAAAAAGGAGACTCTATAATATATTAAATAATATCTTTAATTAAAATTAATATACTTAAAATTTAGAGGATTTAAGTTAAATAATTAAAAAAGAACTTTATTAAACAATATATGGACTATAATAATAAACTATAAGTCTATATATATAAAGGGAAAATTATATTACCTCCAAATCTTAAAAAGGAATAGATACTTAGGTATTATAAATCACCCTTATAAGGATATACTAAAGTAGAAGAAGTTTTAAAAAGACTATAATAAAACTATTATTTTTCTAGAATATAATAAAAAGTCTTTACTTAAATTAAGACCTACTATTTATATAAAAAGGCTAAATATAAGTAATATAAATCTTATAAATTACTCTAACTAAACTAAATACTAGAAAAATCCTAGTAAGAAGTATTACTAGACTTTATTAGACCCTTACCACCTTTTAAAGATAAAAATAATATAAAATATAAAAATATTATAGTTACTATTAATTAGCTAACTAAATATATAATATTTATCCTAATTCCTTAATAATTTACTACTTCTTATTTAATAAAAGTTTTTTTAAAGGAAGTAGGAAGATTTAATATATTAGAAAAGATTATTTCTAACTAAAATAAAATATTTATATCTTATTTCTAGAAGAAATTATATTAAATACTATAAATAACCTAAGGAATATTAATAGTATATTACCTATAAAATAATAGCTAGATTAAATAAGTAAACTAAATATTAAAGTAATACCTATAAATATATATTAATAATAAATAAAATAATTAGGTATAATTTTTACTATAAGTAATATTAATATATAATATAATTAAATAAAGTACTATAAGAATATCACTATATTATATAAATTTTAGGAAGGAATTAAGATTAATAGTTAATATATTAGTATATCTACCTATAGAAGTAATACTATTTATAGAAGATTTATAATTATTTTATACTTAATTATAATCTAATATTATATTCTTAAATTAAAGAATAATCTTCTAGGTAAATTAAAAAAGATTTAAAGGATTAGACTTTAAAAAGGGGGATAAAATTTATTTTTAGTAATAAAATATTTATATTAAATACTAAAGTAATAAATTTAATTTTCTAAAAATTAGACTATTTAAAATTAAGAGGATTATAAAACTAATAAATTATAAATTATAATTACTTAAAAATATAAAAATATATCCTATCTTTTATATTTTACTATTGGAAAAGGCGGATCTAGAGACTCCCCTTAATAGGGAAATTAAATTAAAAGACTCTACTAAGCTAGAGTATAAGATTAAGAAGATCTTAGATTACTAAGTTAGAAGATATTAATATTTTTATTTTATAAAGTAGAAAGGTTACTTATTAAAAGAAAATACTTAAAAATTATATAAAAACCTTAATTATCTATTTAAGCTATTATAATATTATTATAAAAATCTAATATACTTAAAATCTCTTAATTTCTAATAATTTAACTAAAGATAATAAGATTATTAATAAATTTATATAGCTTACTATTAAAGTAACCACTATTTCTTATCTATTTTATTTCTTCCTCCTCTTTTAATTTATTTATTAAATAAATTACTTTTATCTTTATATAATTTTTAGCTATCTTTAGAATTTTTTAACTTTAGGAAAGTTAAGCTAGAAGTTTTTATTATTTAATATTTAATTTAGATAATCTTTTAAGACTCTCCTCTATAATAGATTTAGCTTCCTCCTTAGTTTTATCTAGAATATCCTATAATATATTAATATATTTTATACCTTTATAAATATAATTTATATATTTAATACTCTTTAAAGAAGATATAGTAATATAAGATAATCTATAGATTAAATAATACTTATAACTAAGTATAGTAATATTTTTGGATTCCTTAATTTTAGAAGTAAGATATTTATAATAGAGAGAAGAAGTTAAAGATATCTTTATTTTCCTTTTAATAATTATTAAATTCTTTAAATATTAAAGTTTAAGATAAGCTTATTAAGGAGGGGAATAGTATTATAAAATAATATATAAATAATTATATAGGTATAATTCTAATTATTTTACTTATTTTAAGTAAAATAAATATATTAATTAATAGTTAATAGCTAGGGTATTATTAATTAATAAAAATAATTATTTTACTTATTTTAAATAGAATAAGTAGAATAAATAAGGTAATAAGAATACTAAGAATAAAGCCTATATAAATATCCTATCTTTATTAATATTATATTTCTTTATAATTTAACTATCTAGTTTACCTAGTAGTTAGTTTAAACATATTCCTATACTTTTAAAGCTTATACTATTCTAAGTTATAAATATAATTATCTTATTATATTCCTTCCATAATAAGCTCTTATTATACCTTATTCCTTTACTCTAGGAAGCTAAACCCTTTCGAAGTGGCTTACATTAGTGAAGCTAGTTGGTACTGGGAAAGTATTCCTAACAGCACGGTACAGCTGCGCTCAGGCCGCGGGTCACGTGTTCTAGGGGGAAGCAGTATTTAAGCTACGCACAGTATCCACCTTAGTTTGACTCCTTAGTTGTCAGTTTTGATACCAATCCATACTTATTGCTCCCTATCCTGATATCACGCTTACATTCACCCCTTACACCGTACGTGACAGCACGTGTCCTATACGTCAGTGTTCTCTCTGTTCCTCACATATATACTCCTCCTCTTTGAATATATTATATTAGTATTTTCCTCTTTTGTCCTAGAAAGCTTACCCTTATAGAAGCGGCTTACATTAGCGAATCTTGACGGATAGAGAATAGATTCCTAAGGTCTCTTGTAATTACCTATGTTATAAAATAGACTAATCTAAACTTATAAGGTTGATCATGAATCTTACTTATTTTAACTGCTTTAAATATAGCCATGAATCTAAATGCTATCTAACCCAGTAGCGCTATGTAATATGAAACGTGAGATATGGCAATGCCTAAAACCCAAATTTCTGAAACCCGGTATGTAAAAATTTCAATCATGCTTCTCCGAAGGTCTGTTTATTCCACCCGACGGGAGCTTCATGTCACCGTTCGCGCTGTCAGTACTGTTTTTCTCAAGTGGTATGGTCAAGCAGTTGATGCCAAGATACTCGCATATACTTGTGATCACTAGATGTGCCCATCTCGCATACACAATAGCAGCAAAGACGAAATAGCCCTGCAGGTAGAGCGTCTCTGCACTGTGACTAATCTGCGGGAGGCCCAACATTGGGAGATTACCAAGGATCGCACCTCCGACAAGCGGAGTGAGAAGAACCGTCCAATAAGGGAAAGGCTGGCGGGTTAAATGAGCCAGAATGATTTTTGTGGTCATCCGACCAAAGACCAACGACATTGTTAGGCAAAAAAGAGTCAGGTGATTCTCTTTCAAAAGATGAGAACTGTCGCTGCCAAGCCAGGCGATGCACGAAGCTGTGAAAACAACCATAGGTGTCCATTCCAGAAAGAGCGGTAGCATAGGTAGTCCTTTTGCTTTTCGTGAGGACCAAACATTGAACACACACGCAGGGAGATGTGCTACGCAGAATGCACCCAGTATCAGCGGCACCCAAATATCTCTGACAGAAGTTTTCTCGCCAATGAAAGCCTGTAAGAAAGGAAATGGTTGCGCAAGAGGAGTTTGCCATATCTCCGGACCGTAAATGCCGGACACTAGCATCATGGCGGTAGCAATTATTAGACCCTCAGTTGGACCGTTGAAATAACCGAGATAGAGAGTATGTGTATGGTAGGTCTCCCACGTGGAGAAAAACATGGGCAAGCAAGGCACCAATGCCGTGAACGCACCAACCTTTGTTGCTCCAAACATCATAGCAGCGGTTTCAAGTAAACTTGCGAGGGTGCAGTTGAGCGAATCAATACCATGGTCGAATAATTCCCCAAGAGGTGAAGAGGTTCCAGTTCGTCGCGCTTGTTTACCATCCACGTTGTCCATAGTTGAATACATCCACACGCCAATCGCAAAGCTTATATATACCCAGCCTGGTGCCTGTATTGTACCTCAGTTCTTGCTCGAAGGAATCTTGAATACGTCTGTCTCGTACCGGCCCAACCAGGTCGGGAACATAGTAACACATCAGAGCAACATTCCCAAGTATGAAGAAGAAGCCGATCAATGTGACTAGATTCGGCGCGAGCCAAAGTGGTAATAGCTCCACAAACGCATTCCACTACTCGACTCTTGTCAGTGATGTTCAGTAAAGATCATTCCAAAGACGCGTGAGCTCTTCTGCTCTATCACGTACATAATGCCGCATAATGTATTTGCTGATCGGACTTTTATCGACGCTCGAGTATTTGTACGTCCTCAGATGGGAGAGTGCCTCGTCCGTTAGACATTCTGCTACCGCGACTCCTAAGATCGAAGGTCAATATCCTTCTCCCACACTGCCTGCACAGACTGCCGAATCGGCACGTCCAAGAACAAAATTTTGTAAGAGAAGTGTAACACACGTTGGGTTGTAGGTCTTCCCATGATAGAAGTGTCACCTTCTCCTCTCGTGGGAGTAGTGACAGGAAGTGGAAGCGCCAGCTTGAGGTAAGTTTTGCAGGTCACCGCCTGCAGGGCACCGTTCAGGAAAATAGTCTTCTCGCGGGTGTCACGCTCACTTTTCTCGGTGCAGGAGTGGAGCTAGCACCGATTTCCTGCTTCCCAACTAGGGGGCGAATACGTTGGTCTTTCTCAACAAAAGAGTCGGCAATGATGCGCGTTTTATAGTTGCAGATAGCGCGATGGAACAAACAGCGTGTCCAACATGTGCGGGTGTCGAATAATGGTTGTTGGCGTCTGTTATATCTTACAAGAGCGAAGGCCCGTCAAGCCGCCGGAAATTTCGGGTCATCCAGCCGTAGAATGTGATCCATGCGCGCCCGCCTGAACCGAGATGGTTGGCACGAGTCGTCAGGGCTCCTCAAGATCCGAGCGTCTTGTACGGAGAACATGAAGTTACATTGTCGTTGCTTTCATATCATCGCCATGTCGAGGAATTATTCAACTGGATACCATCGTGCATAATAGACTTTACCACCCTTCAAAAGTTGCGACGTCATAATTCAAATTGCCATGCATCGATCGCTATCTAAGAACTACAGACTAACCTTTGAATGAAGACGGCGGATTTAACGTTCCTCATTGCACACAGCTGGACATCCGAATCGTAAGGCACTTTTTGGAACGCGAAAATTCCAATCTATGAAAATAGCCGTATCACTTTTAGGAGTTCCATATGCATCAAAGTCATGTTTAGAAGCAGCTTTGTCACGTCGTTATACTCCAAACCCTTTTAGCCTAGTCCAACTTTGCTTCGCAAACCCGCCACTCTAGCGGGTGGAAAAGGCCTTCGTGACTACACGTTTGAGGGCAAGTTCCTAGTAACGGTCAGTACATACTAAGCAAGCAGCGAAGAAATTTTAGACGTACCTTCTTCCTCAAGTCATCCGCAGTGGCATCCTCGACTTCGAGTTGGGCCATGGCATCACTGAGTGCGTCCTCGATTTTCTTACGTTGATTTTGCTTCAAGGTGCTCGGACCCGAAATCATTTCCTCAACACGTGCAATGTATGCCTCGAGTTGCTGCCGCGATTCAAACCGCTTGCTGAATGCCTCGTCTGTGGTCTTGAATTTGGCAGCGTCGCTAACCATCTTCTCGATCTCACTTGAGGAGAGTTTGCCAACAGAATTAGAAATAGTGATATTGGCGCTGCGACCAGAAGTCTTCTCCGTGGCGGTGACCTTTAGGATGCCGTTTACATCAACCTCGAAAACAACCTCTAGAACAGGCTCACCAGCCCGCATTGGAGGAATTGGAGCGAGAGTGAATTCGCCCAAACTAGTATTGTCCTCGCAGTTCACTCGCTATTAAAGAGGTTAGCGCTTAAGGAACAATGTCAAAAAGAGGGGGAAATGTACTTCTCCTTGGTATACCGGGAATTGTACACTCTGCTGCCCGTCGGCGACAGTTGTAAAGGTTCGCTTTTTTAAAGTTGGAACGGTTTGCCCGCGGGGCACAACTGGGGCAAAGATATTGCCCTCCATAGCGACGCCGAGGGAAAGGGGAACAACATCAAGAAGCAGAAGGTCAGCAGTGTCTGCGGACTGCGCTTTACCAGAGAGAATACCAGCTTGAACAGCAGCACCATATGCAACTGCCTCATCAGGGTTGATACTCTTCTCAAGTTTTTTGTTGTTAAAGAATTCACTGAGAAGCTTCTGTATCCGTGGGATACGGGTCGAGCCACCAACAAGCACGATCTCATCAACCTTGCTTTTATCGAGGCCAGCATCCTTAAGGACTTGCTCTACGGGTTGGAGAGTACCAGTAAAAGCCTTGGAGTTCAGCTCCTCGAAGCGGGCGCGTGTGATGGTGGCTGTGAAGTCCTCACCATCAAAGAGAGAGTCTATCTCCACAGTAGTGGAAGAGGCAGAGGACAATGTGCGCTTCGCACGCTCACAGGCAGTTCTGAGTCTTCGTAGAGCACGGGAGTCTCCAGACATGTCCTTCTTAGTCTTGCGCTGGAACTCTTTCTTAAAATGCTCGAGAAGGTTGGTGTCAAAATCCTGACCTCCGAGATGTGTATCACCAGCAGTAGCCTTGACGGTGAACACGCCACCTTGGATGTGAAGAAGGGATACATCAAAGGTACCGCCACCGAGGTCATAGATGAGAACATTTCGCTCACGCTCAGTCTTACCAGAGCCAAGTCCATACGCAATGGCGGCAGCAGTAGGTTCGTTGATAATTCGGAGTACGTTCAGGCCAGAGATTGAGCCGGCATCCTTGGTAGCTTGTCTCTGATTGTCATTGAAATATGCTGGAACAGTAATTACGGCCTTCTCGACCTTCTTGCCAAGCTTGACCTCTGCAACCTCCTTCATCTATCCGACGACAGTTAGGATACAATGCTAATATAGGATGGATCAAAATTTTACCTTGCCGAGAATCATAGCAGAGATTTCTTGTGGAGAGAAAGTCTTGGTCTCGTTGAGGTATTCGACCTGTACAAAAGGATTGCCGTCCTTGTCCACAACCTTGAATGGCCAAGACTCAATATCCTTCTTCACGGTCTCATCATCGAATCGACGACCAATCAAGCGCCTGAAAACATCTGTAAGAATCCCGCCCAAGCATCAAACAATTTGGAAGCACTCACTTCACGTCGAAGATAGTGTTGGCTGGGTTCATTGCCGCCTGGTTCTTTGCCGCTTCGCCGATCAACCGCTCTTCCGGCGTGAACGAAACAAAAGACGGCGTGGTGAAGCTACCCTGTTCATTGGCGACTGGCAATTGCTTAACATGCCTTAATTAAACTCTGTTGTAGTGTAGAACGTACTGATTTCGACACTGGTGCCTTCATACACGGCAACACAGGAATATGTAGTACCTAGAAGTGAGCAACTGTCAGCATACGGGCTGTAGAGGGTTTTAGGCACAATGGCCTTACCGAGATCGATACCGATCGCGCCATCATATACTTCTTCGGCCATAATGGAGTTTGCGTTTGTTGCGCTCGTCAAAGGAGTTTGTTGGTGGATAGGATAGTGAAAGGATATTTTTGTGGAGGGTCGAAAACTTCGCGCCGCAAAAAAATTCCCAAGGCTCATTGAGCCGTCCGTGCGTCATTCTACAGGGGGGCCCCTGGTTCGTGCCTATGCCGAGCTCATCGATCCTTTTAAAATTTATTTGTCGCTCACATCGACGAGCATTTTGCTTACAGCGTAGTCTCTTTGCTCATGTGGACTTTAATCATCATTACAACGAGAATTGATGGAGTCGAAAGATTGTGAAGCACGCAAAACATACTATAATCATGTTAAATTACTTTCTACACTTCCTTGATTCACCAATTGGCCATGTGAAAGTAGGTTTACAATGCCTCGTGTTATCAGGATGTTTAAGGCAGACGACGCACCAGCCAAATGTGTGGGAATCGGAATTGTATGGAAGTGAGCTGAAAGTTAGCTTGCTGACTATCATTTTTGATATTAAGTTCAAGCAAATTTCCATACATTCTGGCACTATCATTTTCTTCTACTATGTTCCCGGCTTTATGAGTTGAGAAGCTAGTGTCAAATGTTCGAAGTATATATCGATTGTGAAAGACTATACATATGACCAAAAACTTTATTGCCAGCTACTTAAAGGGTATTTAAATCGATATGCACAGAATCCAGAATTCAAACAGTACAAGCATGCACGCTTTGATCTTCGTGGCATCCTACGCTTTTCAATGCGAAATCGCGACCATGCGATTGACACATGTCACGTATGGTGAATTACCGCCAACGTGCTCTGGTCATCCAGACTAGTAGTCAGACCGTGCTGTCATGGAAGTAAAAATTTATGTCGCGTGGCCGTCTGGTGTTGTGCCGCACGAATTCCTCGTCGCCTGGAGGCCTCTCATTCTTAGTATTACTCGTGAGCATGCTCTGTAGACTTATGCACACGCTTTCTACATTATGGACTGGGCTCCATGCTTGGCGGTCAAGCAGGTCAAGACAGATGATGCCGTTTGAGTAGACATGGGGGTGCATAGGTATCGAGTGGGTAGCATCTTTGACAAAAACAACTTCTGGTGCCTCTAGATGTAAGTCAGCAGATCTATCGGACATCTATTCACGCTACACATGCCTATAGGATAGCTATTGCTAAACGTGAACTTCAACCTGTAGGTCTGTCCTTTGTATATCGGATTGTCATCCAACACTTGGATGTCCATGAGCCACTCTTGCAAATTATCTGCGGAAACTAGAGTTATCCCCGGTGCCACATGCTCGTGAAGCTGCGGACTTATCAGCAATAAGGTAGATCTGTGGATCACGCGGTAGGTCATACTTTAGTTAGCTCCTGTCGAGAGTAAGCGAGAATTTCGATAGTTTGCGGGTTCATATCAGCTTTACCTTCTGTAATCTTTTTTCTGCGAACATACTGTTTTGAAACGAAGGCTGCGTTGAGTTTGAATCCAGGCAAATGTAGAAATGACGAAGATTCGCCACAGCCTTATCAAGACTGTGTCAACAAAATCGATTCTTGTTTTGGTATACAGCGTGAAAGTGAGGTTAGATTTATCGCCTTGGCCGTATATGAGGTGAATGTGCCTTTATCGAGACGTCGAGTGAAGAGGTGCTTACGAGAAGTCCTTAGTGTCGGTAAGTTACCTTGAATCTGAATGGGATGACATTATTCGCTGGCTAGTCTTGCCGCATAAGACGCAGCCCCAACAGAACACTTGAAACTGTCACTTCAATGGTCACGTAGTAATGCCCATCTCCTTGGCTATATCTTGCAAAAGGATCCAGCCTACAAAGTTTTATTTTCCCTTCTCTCGCAACAATCGGAGAAAAAACGAGGCGTTAAATAGCCCACCGCCGCAAACCAGCCTCAAATGACTTGAGTAGATTTGCGCGACAGATGAACTTGGCCAACGGACATAGCACGGACTTAAAGCACATTTCGCGTTTACCACCTGTCAAAAAAAAAATTCGGCAAAAAGTAGTAGTCTACGCAAACATTGACAGAATGCTCACCGAGCGCTTTGTCGCAGCAATTCAATCGCCAACCAACATAACAGTTCCTGGCTCAAAGGATGCTGGAATCTTCCTACATGAGCTGCGACCATTGCCTGGCTTGCAACAGACATTCAAGAGAAGTGTATCGGCACCGAATTGCGTCGCTGTAAGCGAAACGCATATCTTTGCCGCGCAATCGGAAAAGGCCACCGTACACGTATACAACAGAGAGAAGGGCTATCACGAAGCGACAGTACCGTTTAATGAAAAGATCACCTGTCTGACGCTAGCTGCGTCTGGTCTTGTTTTATTACTCGGCACAGAAGGAGGCCGGGTAATAGCATGGGAGGTAAGCTATCTTCTTCCGATGAATAGCTGATTGAGAACTAGCTTGCTAACTGCTCAAAAAGATAGCTACAGGGCGTCTATCAAGTACCTCACATGCTCATCTTCAAGCTGTTACTTGCCTCACTGGGGACGCTTCCTCACACTTCATTCTCTCTGGGTCCTGCGATGCCACTGTTCTAATCTGGTCTTTGAGCGAGCTATTAACATTTTCTAGCTCGGATAGTTCAAGTTCTCGTAACGTTTTGCCACTTCATTCCCTGTCAGCTCAGCGCGGCCCAATCACGGCACTTGCAATGGCTTATGGCCACGGTCCGACGTATATCGCGATCAGCGCATCAGAAGATCGAACTATCCTGGTCTGGGATTGCAAAAAAGGCACTACACTTCGGACATACTTGCTACGAGATATACCCAGAGCTCTTGTTATGGACAGGTGTGACCGTGGGTTTTACACAATCTACGAAGATGGCAGTGTTCAGCTTATAGATTTAATGCGGAATTATGATCTTGTCAATGACGTATATGATGGTGATGCTACCGCTCCCATACAGCCAAGAGATAGTTGTCTCTGGAAAGCAGAGGGACAAGAGCTAGGAAGCGGTGTTAGTCTTGGGCTTAGTTGGGATGGCACTCAGTTGCTATCTGGTCATAGTAGTGGAAAGATTGCAACTTGGGACGTTCCTAGGGGTAATTTCATGTCCGTTCTTGCTGTGCTGCCAGGCCCCGTGAGCAGCATTACCATGCTTCCAATAACGGGGTTAGAATTAGTCGAAAAGAAGAGTTCTGGCATTTCGATACTAGGAATCACGAAACCTCGTATCATTAACACAGAAACTGAGAGTGGCACTCCGGGAAATTATACTATGGCATCGCAGCTAAAATCCAGCTTCATTGCAACGCGATTTCGAGCTAGCCAACCCCCTGGCAAGGAAATGCTAGGCAGTCTGGGATGCGCGTTAGCACGACCATCATATTCATCAAAAGTTCTAGAATCTGGTCAGCTTGGTCATCGAATTACCAGTCCGCTATCGACGATAGCGATGAACGGTGAAGTACAGAAGCTGATGGAAGCATCCACCAACAATGATAACCAGCAGGAAGCCAATGAGCTGGTAGATTTGAGAGTAAGAAATCATACTCTTGTTGAGCAAATATCGCATCTGCAAAACTTACAAAGGGCTTCGTTCGTTCAGCTACGGAAAAAAACGATGACTATAGATACTCTTGTGAAGGATCACCACTAATGAATGAGAAAAAAAATTAAATCACGAACACTTTTAAGAGCCAAGCAACTCAAAACGGGAATGAAGGTTTTATCGATGGCGTCCCTCGGAATCTACATCAATAGAAACCTGGCATTGGTAGAGAACGATAGGTGGCTGCTAAGGCAAGGATCCATATCAGCGATAGATGAAACTTGACATAGTCTGGAATATTTTGAGAACATTACATTTTTGTTTCTGAACAGCTGACGTCTACAAGTGTGTATTTATTTTACTTCCAAGACTCGCTAGGTATAGGAAAGTTCGCATAGATACTGTTCAGTTACCAACCGAATAGGCAATTGCTTCACTGAATGATTTATCAGGCTCTGTGATTGGGGCTCTATGCTTACATGCTGTTATAAGTTCCTACTCCTCCGAAGTCGACTGCAAACGGAACAGGATTTGCCGCACTCTACATAGACTGCTCAGAATACTGGACATATTTCGTCCCGGAAATTATGTGCTATACATGAAGCGAGTCTATGCGACGTGATGATGTGGCCGCGACTCCTGTTCAAATTGTTTGTTTGAAAAATCCTTCATTGTTATGTAGAGAAAAATAGAGAAAAATATTTGCCCATTGGTCAAACCACCGGATCTTCTGTTTGTCCCCTGAGCTCTTGATGCTGTTAGGTAATTTACGTTTTCAGCTGATTACTTGGCATTACTGTAATAAGCACTCCACACCTAACTTAACTGCCTTCAAATCTTTGTGACACAATAACATAAAACCAGCATCTCTCAGTCATATGATGCAAAGTAATGAATCTCATACAAGCGACTGGACAACGAAATGAAACCTATCTTGGCCAAAACGATAGAAAGGTTACAAAAATTAAATAGAGCTCAATTGGCTGTTGTAATTAGGGAAGACTCGAGGCTACTCGTGTTCACGGTATCCGGGGATCTGATATACTACAGAGATTAGCTTGCGAATTTATAAGAAGATTTTAATGATCGAAATTCTTGGCTTTGTGATATTTTCATGTCGAGACTGCCGTATAAAATTGTTTCACGGTTTAAAGGAAGAGTAAGGACCGGCAATCTAGTCATCACAGCAAAAGTCGACATAAAGCTCGGCCTCATCTGAGGCATACGATTAACCACATTTCATGGTTAACTTCGTACCTCTTTGAGGAGTCCTGAAATTAAGAAACGATTGAAAGAATACAGAAACATCAACTACGTCGTCATATTCTCAACTATGCAGAGCCATGAAAATTTTATAAGCCAAACTTCTGTAGTCCCCTCGGACCAGCCAGTGCATGCCGGAGAGGGCACCCACCAGTGTAGCTCCTAGCTGAGCTTGATTTGTTCCAAATACCGAAGCCTGTCATAGCTTGCGAACTCATGGTCACCACCAATGCAAAATGCAACAAAAGGGGGGTTCTCGGTAAGTATCTATGTGCCTGATCTTGACAAAGCTGTGAAATTAAAGTAGTCACTTGGCGAGATTCTTCATAATTTTGTAACCTGATTGACGTTACGTGCTTTGAGTATGCCAGTAGAATTTTACTAGTGGGAAAGTCATCTAGAAGACATTCTACAAGTGGAGAGCACGATCTGTCCTCCCGTGGGCTGAACACTACCACTTTGTATATAATTTCAGCAGGTACCGCAAGCAAAGACTGGATGGGTTTCACTCTTATCATAATGAGCAGACAGTATCGGCTGTCTTAGCTGCCATAAATACCACATATAATTGGATTGAGCAGCTCGATATTTTAAGCTGAAGTTGTAGATCAAAAACAACGCAAGTAATGTTCACCAGCTTGGAATGCTGTCGTGGAGATATGTTATTGTTTAGAGAGATAAGAACGTACTCGTTGACCTGAACGTTTGCTTCTGAATATTCCCATAAATTAGTAGCTTGAGATGCTAGTCCTGCGTTAATAAAATATCAATCCTATCAAAGGCATATTCGTCGATCAATTGCGGGATGACCGGACCTAGCTTAGATCTGCGGATTTGCCATTGGGTTAGAAAAATTTTGAGCGTCATTTTTTGCATCTGCAATTGATAGAATTAACTTTATATTTGGGGTCTGTAAATTTTGTTTTACGCAGGCATGAATAGTGTTGTAAATTCCCCCTGTTGGTATGACGTTTCAACTTCTAGTCTGCTCCGCCGTTCATGGTTAAGCCATTGCACCTGGGATTTGAAATGACGGAAAACATGACTTGATCCTCTACGATGAGCTTCGGACAATTCCGAACGCTCATTCTCTCATATGGGTAAGATATTACTAAGTGAAGGCACAAAAGACAGATATGTTGTATCCAGACACAAGCTTGCTGAAGATGGAGTAGCCGAGGAGCGGCGATTAGGATAATATACTGCACTGACATACAGTTCTGTTGCGGTGAGCTTATTGATTGATTCTCCGGGTGAATTTCATCGAATAGCTGTTTGTACGTGCTCTACCTTTGTTGACTTCGAAGTGGACTGCTGGGTCTATGTTTTTTTTTTTTTTTTTTTTTTTTTTTTTTTTTTTTTTTT